CTGGCAGGGCACGGGGCAGGCAGCGCACACAGCACACGGAGCAGGCAGGGCACGGAGCAAGCAGAGCCCGGAGCCCCTCGGCACGTCCAGGGCAGCGGGCGGCGGGCAGCACCGGCGTCCGGGCAGGCGTCGGACTAACGCCCGGTGCCTTTCCTCCCGCAGGTAAAAGTATGGTTTCAGAACAGACGGACAAAGTTCAAGCGGCAAAAGTTGGAAGAGGAAGGTTCAGACTCACAACAGAAGAAAAAAGGGACTCATCACATTAACCGGTGGAGAATCGCCACCAAACAAGCCAGTCCAGAGGAAATCGACGTCACGTCGGACGATTAAAAACTGGCACTTTTTGGACTTTTCAAAGCCGGGCACCCCACCAACAGAAAGTGTTAAAGGCTCACACCTAACCCGGCGTGGCGGTGCGGGGAAGGGACACGGAGATCTTCATAAAAAAGGCGATTCCCGTCTGGGAGGGTAGCTGGGAGCGAGCGAGGGTGAGACCGCGAGAGGTCCGAACTGTGGCACTGCCGGCACCGCTCTGGCAAGGGGGGATCTGTCAATCAAAGCCGAAACACCGGGACGAGGTGATTGACAGGTATTCCGTTTCTCGCAGTCCACTTTTAACAGCATAACGTCAAAAAATTAAAAAAAAAAATCTTGAAAAAAAATCTTAAAAAGAAAAAAAACGAAACAAAAAACCCCCAACCAAACCAGAAAAATTACCACCTTACAGGACATTTTGCACTTCACAGTTTTTTCCGTCTTTAAAAGAGAAATTTCCATAAGCAGCCAAAATCCACACCTGTTTCAGAAACTTGAATTGCATGTGAAAAGCCGTCTGGGCAAAAAAAAAAAAAAAAAAGAAAAAAAAAGAAAAAACGGAAAAAAATTACCCTGGTTCCTAAAGACAGAAATGAATTGTAACTTTTTTCCCTTTGAGACAGGTTCTGTGTGCTTTTTAATTTTATTTTACGAGAAATGTGCAGTCTGTAAACATTTTATGATAACTTCTGGCGTCAAAGTGTTTGTGAAAGCTAAATGAAGTAGCAGTAACAAAGCATAGTGTTCCTACTGAATAAAGCTTCCAAATGAGGCTGTACCATGACCTCTGCGAAGGCAAACCTAGAAGGGAGCAATGGCATCTTGTCAAGGTCTCTAACACAGCAAACATCACGGTCTTCAGCTACTATGGGAAACTATGTGGGAAGAGAAGGTGCACATAGGACACCATCCGTGGCCTGTTTAAATCAATAGAAAAGCTGTATTTTTTTCAGTAGCCATTGACTCCAGGCCACTGAGGAAAGGCTCCATCCACTGCACAAGCCACTGCGTCAGTGGAACTGCTCACATGCACTAGGTACTCGCTCACCAACCTCTTTATAGGATGAAGCCCAGCTCTGCTGTACATTACCAAACCGAGCCTAAAAAAGTACTTGCAAGAAACACTTGAAAGGTACAAGAGACAATCCCAAACATACACGTTCCAAACCACTGGCAGTCACATAAGCAAAAAGCGACTACGGCTGCACTACTACTGTAGTTTTACTAAGGAGTATGCACTACTGTTTTTAATCATTATAATGTATTGACAACTGACCTTTTCCATGTAAGTTTAATTGCCTTTATAGAAAAACAAACAAGCAAACAAAAACCCAAAGAAACTGAAGATTCTTTTAGGGCTTTGATCACAATCAAAACCTTTACCCATGTGTTTGCCTAAAACAACTGAGCAGCTGTAAATAAATACCTTCAAAAAAAAAAAACAACCAAAAACCAACCAAACCCACAACAACAAACCCAGCCCCTTCCCCGGTTAGAAACTGAAGTGCGAATGGGCTCGTAATGGGAGGGTGAAAATGGTCCGCAGCAGCCGCGGTCCGCGGAGAGGGAGAGGGGCTTTCCTTGGCAAAAATATGTATTTTATTTAGAGGGAGAAGATTTTTTCTTCCTTCCCCCCCTCCCATTTTCTTTTCCCCCGTCTATTAAATTCCCTCGCCAGGTCGTTGCGGTGAGGAGCAGGTCCTGGGAGGCAGGGACTGCGCCCCAGCTGCTGCTCTCCCCGCCGCTCTGAGGGAGCGATCCTGGGCACAGGGTAAAACTCTCACATTAAAGAAGTGGAGGGGGGGGGGGAAAGTTGCTCGGGGTCCTTGAGGGAACTAGCTGGTTTTCTGGGGGTACACAGTTGTTTTTTCATGCTTCATTTGCTCCTTAGCCTGATAGACTGCATTAATCAGTTTTATTTCCATTGATAGAGAAACCTCGTCTGCTCTGTTCGAGCTACAAAGAATCCTGCAAGCTTTTGTGAAAGTGCAAATCAGTTTAGGCAATTATCATACCAGGAATATGAAGGGGAAAGAGGAGGCATTGCCCAGTGGTCTCCTTTAATCTCTTAATCCGTGGATCCAGGGGGGCTAGTTGGACATAATTTAGGACAATCTGACTACCCTTTACACTGTGATAAGGCGAAGTTACAATGCATCGCGAAAATACGAGCTTTGTTAAACATCCTGCCTTGAAAAGTTAAGATTACACATTCTGTGCACGTGTTGGCTCTATCGGGTACTATGTAAATTTATTTCTTTTTTTAAAAAATCCGATTTTTTTTTTTTAACATTGCTCCTTATACAATCCCGGTGACTTTTCATTCACTTGTGCTACAAATATGAGAGAGGCCCAGGCAGGGTTAGGACGCATGTCGCAATGCAGTCCCTTCCATTTAGACCTCGGCTAATTATTTAGTAGAGCTATTCCCAAGGTAAACTTCTCGTTGCGTTTCCCTCCTCCTCGAACAGCTGATGGTGCAGATCTTGAAACCAAGAAGGGCGCACATTTCACCTTAACTCGCCCAAGTCGGCTTGCGCTCCACTTCAAACCCATGCAAATGGGCAAACATTAAACGGATCGCGGCCGAACAGCAGACTTGGGCCTTTCTAGAAATTGTTTCCCATCTTGATAAAAGGCTTATTTCTGCGGGAACCATATACTTCCCCCCCCCCCTTTTTTTTTTTAAACCGTGAGGGAAGAGAGGGAGAGAGGGAAAAAAATTAAGCGTCCTATGTAGCGTAACAGCAATAAAATCTTCAGAGAATGCCATTAGCTTTGAAAAAAAACCCTAAAAGCTTTATTACAAACCAAGCTTTGAAAATAGGGGGGATTAGGAGTCTGAAAGGGTCCCACAATGGTTAGAAGAAAAGGTTTCATGCTAATGAGGTTAATGCCCTTTGTATCTCAGGACTCCACAACTTCATTACTCCCTATCTCCGGCTGCACCAAGCGGCTCAGAACACTGCAATCCACTCCAGCTCTCCCCTGCCTTGCCTAGAGAAGGATTTGATAGCAGCTCTGTTCAAACTAGATAATTATATCTTTTCAAGTCGGAATTAAGATAAAGAAAGTGAAGCAAAGGCGGCTAGCCTTGATCCACTGCAAACAAATTTGGCGCACTTTCTAGTCTCTCTCCCCCTGCCTCAATAGGCAGGACAGTCAGCTTATTAGACCCTCATTTGCTTTATTAATTCATCTATTTAAAGTGGCAGGATTAGAGAGAGGGAGAGAGAGGCAGAGTCTAATGTGGGACAGTGGATGCCAGGCAACGTGGAAATATAAATATTGGCGAGATGCTATCCGAGCGGGTGTTTAAAAATACATTTTATATTAAATAACTGAGAGGGGTGGGGGAGGGAGGGTGTATTTCGGGTGGCGAATTGCAGACTCGGGCGGATTTTTACTGCTCTTTCGAAGGAAATCTGGGCCCGCTGCC